CTGTTGAGTCCAAAGTCAGTGACTATATAGCCTCAATATGGCCAGGAGAAAATATGCAGTCTGTTGTCTTGGAATTTATAACAGAAAGCCTGTCAAGATTTGTTATCGTCTCTAGCTGCAACTTACTCGTACTGAGACATGAGAGAATGACCACATAATACTATTTTTACAGTCTAAGGAAATGTCTTTAGCATCTGTAAGTACAAATAGGAGCCCTGAAAAATTTTAGAAAAAATTTTAAACTGATATTATAGTTAAGTTGATTTCAGTGGCTTGTTGTTTGCAGCTCCTTTTATAATCATTTACATTCTTCCATAGAGCTGCCAGGCATGTTAATATAGTCACCTTTAATTTACATAGACTGTGAAGTTGTAACAAGTATAGTGACTTCCTTCCAAAGCACAGAGATTTGCTGATTTTTCTGGGTTCCGTAAGTCACTGTAGTTTTTGTTTTTGTTTTAAAATCAGTTTTTGGGAAATTTCATCCATTATTTCTTCAAATACATTTTTTTTCTGTTCTGTTTTGTTCTACTCTTCTTCTGGGACTCCAATTCCATGTAGGTTGGACTATTTGCTCTTGTCCCATATGTCTGCACAGCTGATTTTCCTTCATTTTTTTTTTCTCTCAGTTCTTTAGATTGGATGATTTATATTGATGTTTTCAAGTTCACTGACTCTTCTGTAATTTCAAATCTTTTAATTCCATCATTTCTTCAGTTCTGGAATTTTTGTTTGGTTCTTCTTTTTTTTTTTTTTTTAAATAGCTTAATTTCTTTGCTGAGCTTCTCTATGTTTACCTGTCTGTATACCATATACATTAAAAATAAACTCCTTGAACACATTTCACTTCAAATTTTAAAGCATATTTATAATAGCTGCTTTAGTTCATCTGTTAAATCCATCTTGTGGTCAGTTTCTGTTGACTGCTTTTTGACTTGTGTACTGGATATTGTGGATGGCATGTTATAGAAACTTCAGTTCTTTTATTCTCCTCTGAGAAATGTTGACTGTCTTTCTTGTCTTGTAATATTTAGATAATTTACTGGCTTATCACCTTGAAATAGTTTAGGTTTGGTTTTATACTGTTAGACTAGATCTGTGGAGGGCTTAAGGTGTTTTTCAAGTCCATCAAACTTGGCAGGACTCAACTTCCAAACTCTGTCTCTTTCATATTCTTGTCAGGGCTTATTTTAGGCTTAGTTAGAGCAGATCTTGAGTCGGCCTTACTCTCAAATGTGCTCTTTACTCCTAGTTCTCCACCCTTTGGGTATCTCAGCTGGATGCCCAGGGTGTTAATGAGGTCCTGTGTTTTCACCACTCTGACTGGGCCAGAACTCCTAGGAGGGTCCTTGCCTCTCAGCACTCTTTGACCTCTAGTTATCTCTGTTTCATTTTGAACCCTTTAGTAGTTGTCTTGTAGGCTTCCATTTTGCCTTACACACGTACAGCCCAGACCACAGCCAACAATTTTTGGAGAATTTCCACACTGGGGCCTCCCCTTTGTACAGTTCTCTTTTCTCTGGGACCTTGCCCCACAGATTTCAACTGCTTAAATTTTAATCTCTGCCTCATCAGCACAGTAGACTGCTGCACTCTGCTTGGACTGTTTCCTCTGTTTGAAGTACTTCTTTCCTTTACACACCTTACCTTTGCCCTGCTTAGACTTTAGCTCACCACACCATAATCAAGAAATCTCCCCAGGCAGAAAGCTGAGGTAATTATAGGGCTCACCTCATGTATTGTCCTTCTCCCAGGAATCAGTCTTCTACTTGTTGTTTAATGCCAAAAAAAGTCTTTTTGTATTTTGTTCACTATTAACGATAGTTAATGGGTAGGATGGCTAGTTTAGTACGAGTTATATTGTTGTATCCAGAAGTATAATTTTGAAGCCCACTCAGTTTGGAGAGGGAATATATTTTTAAAAAGAGAAAAATCTTTTCTTTTAGACACTGTTTCCCATTCATCCAGTCATTGATTATTTGTGTGTCCTCTGTGATTGGCACTGGGCATACAAGGTGGGTGAGACAGTTTCTTTCCTCAAGGAGTGTACTTCTTAGTGGATTAGGAGGCCAACAATTAGGAAGTTTGAGTTTGGTTCTTTTCTTTTTTTGAATAAACTTTTATTGAAATGTAACATACATTGTTATGGTATGGTCCCCTCCCTCACTTTCCAATGTGGTAACTTGTTTTATAAGGACAGAGAAGTTAATCTAGCTTTTCCAAAGGGGAGGGGCTTTCGTAGTAGAAGTAAGGTATACATACACTTTTTAAACCACTGTTTCTTAATTATTAACCGTTAAATTTGCTTTATTTTGAAGTAATTAGCAAGAGCTATAAAAATGCTGTTTATCTGGTCATGTGCTGGTTTCATTCTTTTGCCATTGAGAAACATTTTCATTAGGGATGCATAAATCAGATATCTTTATGTATTTATGATATTAAAAGTGAAAACAATTTTTGTCTCTCTCTGTTTTCTATAGTGTATTTAACAATTGAAACAATTTTTTTTCAAATTTCATTTTTATAACGTCAGCCTAACTCATGAAAAACAAACTTATCTTCACTCTGCTTCCTATATCACTGCCAACAACCTGATAATCTTCAACTCAGGGTCTGGCTATAGAATGATTTTTGCCAGCAATCACTGACGATGTGGTAGGAATTGGATATGAAACAGATTTTCTTCCTTTTCTGTCATGACCTCCATCCAAAATTAGATTGACTTTAGATTGATTATAGAAAAATAACAACTTGAAA